ATAAAAAATATTCAATTGTAAAAATTGTCAAAATACACTAGTTATATATTATATATATTATAATATTCATTAATGATTAAATCAGCGTCACAAATTTCACGTTGTAACTATTGATTAGGTAGTAGKTACTGTGAATATTTAAATCACTTTTTGATAAAAACAATTCCAGCATTATTATTGTACATTTATATAATTTTACAGCCTTCATAGATCAAGCTAATCGTAGGTTGAAAGTACAAAGGATTTATGTCAAAATATCTTATTTTACAGGAAAGCGWTTTTAAGGTCTCTTCAAAGACATAGAACATTTTTCTTTGTGTATCTCATTCATCACAAATTGTATAAAACTAATTTCCAGTTTAAAATATGCCCCAATGAAAACTTATAACTTATAACTTTATAAGGAATAATTTAAAAATTAATTTTGAAAAAAAAAAACATAGAACCTTTTTATTCTTAGCCAACATAGTATTTTTATAATTTTCCTAAGAATTATAATATGGCTAAATTGGAGATAAAATGAAGTCATGTCAATTAGAATTAAGTATCTTAAAGATGTTTTAAGTTTGACTAAGTGAAAAAAAAAATGAATATTCCATAATATCACCATTGCAAAATGCAGGAGGAATAATAAAACCAAAAAATGGATATAGTTTATGTCTTGAACCAATCATGAATCATTTTTCAATATACCTACAATATTGCAGGAACTAACTTATATTAGTAGGTACTTGTATAAATGTATAATATTATCTACATGGCAAATGGGTATGGATCAACTATTTAATTATTATACATTTACATTTTTACCTYATTACATTTTGTTAATAATTTTAAATTCACATATGGATCACCTCATTCATATTTTCTGTTACCTCAAATATCTCCTTATTTTTTCATAATTTATCTAAAACAAATAGAATTTAAAATGTTGTCTAATTATCTTAAATGTAAATTTTTAAAAGTCATAATAATATAAAAATAATAATTTTTGGTGCCATTAT